TTAATACTTTGCTTAGTTTATGAAAGGCATGAGGAGATTGTCCAGCATTCACTACCATATAGGTGATTAGATATTACATAGCAGTTCAGCACTCTTTTCTTTGTTTTAAACGACATTTTCCTATCTCTTAATACTTTGCTTAGTTTATGAAAGGCATGAGGAGATTGTCCAGCATTCACTACCATATAGGTGATTAGATATTACATAGCACTCTTTTCTTTGTTTGAAACGACATTTTCCTATCTCTTAATATTTTTTGCTTAGTTTATGAAAGGCATGAGGAGATTGTCCAGCATTCACTACCATATAGGTGATTAGATATTACATAGCAGTTCAGCACTCTTTTCTTTGTTTTAAACGACATTTTCCTATCTCTTAAAACTTTGCTTAGTTTATGAAAGACACGATGAGATTGTCCAGCATTCACTACCATATAGGAGATTAGATATTGCACTCTTTTCTTTGTTTAAAACGACATTTTCCTATCTCTTAATACTTTGCTTAGTTTATGAAAGGCATGATCAGACTGTCTCTCATTCACTACTATATAGGAGATTAGATAATACATAGCAGTTCAACACTCTTTTTTGTTTCTGACGACATTTTTCAGGCTCTTATTGGTTTTCTTAGTTTATGAAGCTACGTTTAATTATTCTAATCCCTTTTGGATTTTTGTGTTGTATTTTCTTGTGTCTGTTACTGAACCACCCATATCGTTAAATTTGTATACCTGCCTGATTTTCAGTTCTTCCCTTACTAGCACACAGTTTGGGCTGTTTTGCTGACAACGACCTATTCGCTTTTCTTTTTCCTCTTTTTTTTCTTACTTTTATTCTTTTCTTCTTGATTTCATTTACTGCCTTATCTCAGAGTTCTTTCAGATTTCATTCTGACTCTCCCATCAACACAATATCAACCGTGTATAGTATGTTGTTAAGATTGTTCTCCGATAATAAAACCCCAGTTCGTTTTTTTTTTATTTCTCTTAGGGCTGTCTCACTGCATAGGTTAAATAATACATAAATCCGTTGAGAAATTGCACCCTTGTCTTTCTTATTTCGATGTCTCGATCATGGCCCTCCACAATTTTCTGTCTTTTGTAGCTATTAATAAAATTTGTTCCGCCATCCATTTACTCAAACTCGTTAGGTAAATTATGCGTTGTTTTCCACTTTCCTTCTTACTGTGAGTATCAGATTTTCCAAGCCCTCTTACCTCATTATGTGTCCTAGAATTTTCAATTGTTTCTTCCGGATAAGTATAAGTGTCTTTTCAGTTTCCATTTTCTTTAAACTTCCTTATTACTCACATGTCTAGTCCATGATATTCTCAGCATTCTTCTGTAGAACCACATTTCTGTTGCCTCATCTGTGAGGAAATTGTCTAACATTCACTGCCATATTGGAGAATTGATATCACGTAACATTTCAATACTCTAACGAAATATTTCTATTTCTTAATACTTAGCTTAGCTTTTTGGAAGGCATCTTTCTCTGTCCCAATACGCCCTCGGATTTCAGTGTCGTACTTTCCGTTATCTGTTAAAACACTTCCCAAATATTTAAAATGTGCTTGCTTGATTTGGGCATCTCCAATTTGTAATTTGCATCTTGGTCTGTCTCTTTTGCTAACGACCATGTATTCTGTCTTCTTGCAATCGATGTTTAGTCCTTTCTTATCTCCTTCCTTCACTCTTTCTATTCTCTGAACTTATTCTCTTTCTACTCGTAATCCCAGTAGGGATTCCAGGTTATTTTAATATCTTTCTCGTATAATACCCCTAGTATCTTTCTCGTATAATACTCCTAGTACAAATAAAACAACAGAATTAATAGAATAGAAGAAACGGTTGAATCTATTTTTGATGAGCCGAATTCAAATTCAGCTTAGCCTCCTTCGTTCACGTCCGCACAAATGCCTTTAGGAATGGCCTAAACCTATCTCTTATCCCCTAGCTATTAGTGAAATAACAAGGCTCCCTAGAAGATTCTTGTAGCCTAGGTAAGATTACTGAATAGAATAATCACACAAAGGTTGGTAATAAACGATAATACTTAGGACAAGAACAACACATATAAGATTCGCCAGCAGTGCGTAGAAGCAGTCAACTCCTAGAAGTGAAACAAGTGAATTCTACAATGAATCTCCAACTGCAGAATATCTACCACGCGGCCAGATGTGGCACAAGACCGAATTTAATATGGGGTATCCGAGCCCATAGACTCGGCCAAAAATTCCCCGTACACTCCGTATAAAACGAGATCGGGTAACTGTTTCCAAAGACGAAACTCGACATAGCTTCGTCTGGGGATCCTCTCTGCCTGGAAGTAGATAGTTTGTCCAGCACCGCTGAGGACAAATCTCCAACTGCAGGATATCTACCAACCGCCCCACGCAGTCAGATGTGGCACAAGGCAGAATTCAATGTGGGGTATCCGACCCCATATGCTCGGCCAAAAATTCCCCGTAGATCCCGTATAAAACGGGGTCAAGTATATGTTTCCCTGAGTCGAGACTCTGCCCTTCGACATAGACGCGACTGTGGATCCTCCCGCCCAGAGGCAGAGAGTTTGACCAGCACAGCCGGGGACAAATCTTCAACCGCAGACCAACATACAGTATTTACTACTGTATTTATATAAATGGGGACATACATATTATCGTCTGTAGGTATGCTACAACAAAGATACTAAGAGTAGTTGCAATAATAGTCAAACGTTAAAAATAGCTTTCAATGCGTCACTCAATAAAATTTCAAAATAATATTACTACTAATTTAAAAAACCTTAGAGGACTATATACAGTATATAAACAAAACCGCTCCCTTCTCATCGTCTGGGTGAACCTTTTGCCTTCATAGTCTATTAAAACAAAACCGATCATGTATCTTTTCATATTGACTGAGTGAACAGTTTTTTTCCTCAGTAGATTGCCATTTCTTTCTGCAGGAGACCATAGGCTATAAATATTTACCCATACCTGGGGGAGAAGAAGAGGATCATGTATAGCAATTTTGAGGCTCTACATGATGCATGACTGATGTTAAACCGCCGGGAAAGTTTTTTCCTCTGATCAGAAGTGGAATGATTATATTGAATCAGTTGCTAGGTCTGCTGGTAGGAAAGTTGGTTCATTGTATCGCGCTATACAATCTTTCTCGCCAAAATCTCTCTTACAAATTTATAAGTCTATGCTTTGAATATTTCTGTCACATCTGACTTGTTATTCCTACTATATAATTCTAGATTATTGATAAATTAAAAAAATATCGGTCCTGAAATATTATCGGTCCTGAACTGGCATCTCATTTCAGTCATTTTTCCACCGCCATTTCTTTCCTGTGCCTTTTCTATAAAGGAGACCATAGGCGTTATGGTCAGGTTCCTATACCACGGTGATAGTCAAAGGTAGAACCAATAAAGAAGAACTCGTACACGGATATGGAATAACACAGATATATTACAAACAGGAATATATACATAGAAAGTGGGAAGGGAGTCTCGACCAGAGGATTAATTGTTTGAACGCGACCCGGGCCTCTGACTCCGATTGACTCAATCCACTTGACGGATAAGGCTGAATGAGGGCAGTGGCAAAAGGCCGGACGTGGGATCTCGAGCCGGTGGCCTCGGAAACCTTTGAAAAGGGTATAAACGGGTTCAGGGTCGAGCTTTCTCCTTCAAATCCTCCTGATCCTCTCCGCCCGAAGGAATGTTCAACCGATTATATTGAATCTTGAGACGCGCTACGTATGGATGGGTAAGGCTGGTGGGGATTTAACGGATTTGCGTACTCGTTTTGTCTCATCATTTACGTTAACATATCTAGATTTAGCTGTAAATAACAGTTTCTTCTATCGCCTCTCTTGTGGAATCTTTCAGTTAACTTTAATCTTCAAAAACGTAAATGTAATGTCAATATTTATTCTGTTTTTTTTTTGTTTCTTTATTTAATAATGTTTTCTTTTTTATATCCCTCCACCCCGTGTATCTTAGAAGTGAAGGGGAGCAATGAGGAAGTATTAAGTAAAATAGAAACTACAAGGAAAATGATACAATCAAAAAGAGACAATTAAAATTTCTGGGATACATAATAAGAAAAGAAGACTTGGAGAATCTAACACACACAGGCATACTGAAGCTAAGAGAAATATAAATGTCGAGTAACTATTTAAAACTTTAGTAATTGTATGTTTGTTTAAAATATGTCAAAGGACGAAACAATATAAATGAAAGAAGTACGAAACATAATGGCTTCATCTTTAAATATTTATAGAACGTTTCGGATAATACGCTCCGGCCTTCTTCAGGTGGTTGGAATGTTTTTATTTTTTTTATTTTTGACAAGGCCCAAAGATTGTGAAGTTCATACCTGAAAGGCGGGTGGAGTATCCATTAGACGCGGCACGTGGATTAGAACAGTCTACCCCAGTGAGCGAAATAAAGGGTTTAGAACATGAAGAAGGTTGGATTCGTTGTGATAAATATGGCAACAAAGATGAGGGTGATAGTCCGAACAATGTAAATAGTATACATAATGGCTCATCTCATAAATATAGAAAGATAATACAACGAAAGGTTTTTATTTTTTATTTTTGAGTTGTCCTTTCAGAACATAGGCATTCATGGCTCTCCACAGCTTCCTTTTCTTTCTTATCTGTGAATTGCCATGTCTTCTTGGGAAACATATAAGCGTACTTTCCGGTTACCTCCACTAAGGTTTTGCATTGAGATGTGTTTATCTTCTAGGGATCCCTGTTATTTAATCCACAGCTAGGGGACAAGAGATAGGTTTAGGCAATTCCTAAAAGGGATTTGTGCGAACGTGAACGAAGGAGGCTAGGCTGAATTTGAACTCAGCTCACCAAAAATAGATTCAACCGTCTCTTCTATTCTAACAAATTTTCTCCTACTTCCCGACTGTGGAAATCCTTTCCGATTTCTTGCTTCCCTGATAACTACAATCTTCAATTCTCTTCCACTCCCTGTAACCCTCTTCACTTACGACCATATCACGTTGAAGTAGGGATTCCGTATGATCACCGAAGTTAAGCAACGTCGAGCGTGGTTAGTATCCAGATGGATGACTGCTTGGGGATATCAGGTGCTGTAAGTTTAGATGTGCGGGTGGTGTAATGGATAATGACACTGAATTTAAAATTGGAGAGCCGAGTTCCAATTCCAGTCGGATTCTTTATATTCAGTTACACACAAATACGCTTGGGCAAAGCATAAATCCACATCTTCTCCTCCAGGCTATGGGTTAATTAGTAAGTCTTGTATTACTAAATCATTTTATCTGCCCCCCCCGCCCTCCAAAATTCATACAATCTAAAAATAATTTCTGGTTGTAAATAACCTGCAAAGGGTTGATGAACCGTAAAAAACAAATCAATGTAATCTCGTGCGTCCTAGTAGCATTTTCGCCTTAGGAAAAGCATAAATCCACCTCTTCTCCTCTAGGCTATGGGTTAATTAGTAAGACCTTTCTGCAATGAACGTATGTAAAAAAAATAATATTAAATATGGCATCGAGAGATTTAGAGAAATAAAGTGCAAATTTATGAGGTTAGATTAACTGCAAAGTTTCTGTACCTTAATAAGTAGAACAGCTCTTACGTAAAAACGGGCATCTGGTGGTAAAAAGGTAATGATTGACAGTACTTCATCTTTTGATAAGTTTTATTGCAACGCTTGCGTTTTTTTTTATTCTACGCATGTCAAGCAAACAAGAGAGATCGAAAAAAAAAAAACCAAAAGAAAAGAAAAGAATTAGCTCGTATCCTATATTTGTGGGTACTGTTCGCATTTTTAGGAGATGAATAAACGATGGCGAAATGTCGGGTTTGAGAGAATCGTTACCTCGAACCAATGACAGAGAACAAGCGCAAACTGATTCGTGGCCGGTATTTGAAAGACCTACATGGCAGCCATAACTGTAAACACCAACGCAGGCTCTTTCATCTCACCCAACTTAGCGACATCTCTTTTTCTTTACCCCTTGTAAACGCCACCCTCCTCTTTCTCCCTCTTGCCTACGCACAATATTTTCACATCTGAAAAACACCCCATCCGTATACACATCATCAAGCCATCAACGCCCATACACCCACTCACGACACTATACACCTACTTACCCTTTCAAGATTCACCCCACACTTCCACCCAAAACATACACGCAATATATATATATATATATATATATATATATATATGTGTGTGTGTGTGTGTGTGCGCGCGTGTGTGTGTGTGTGCGTGCGTGCCAACTTACATCGGCAATTCTGTACATTTTACACAACCTTATTTTTTTCCTTCTCTCTGACGGACACATCACTCTTCTTTCTTATTCGCCACCCCGAATGTACCCGACCCACCCACGTTGTTGGATTTAAGTTAGATGCATCGATGCGTCATAGTAAAAAGAAACACCGCTAAAAATAAAAATTACCTTTAAAACAAGACTAGTTTATAAGGCGAAGAGAGAGAGTAGGGCAAAAAAAAAAAAAAAAAAAAGAGTTGGGTCTGGATAAAAGTATTTATTTATTTGTTTACTGGGTGGGTAAACGAAAACCGTTGTAAAAGAGAAAGCGATGTCGGGGACTACGATGTGTCTGCTTAGTAGCTGGGCCTCCCCACTTTTTCTTCATTCTTCTTCTTCTTCTTCTTCTTATTATTATTATTATTATTATTAATAATATTATTATTTCTTCGTGGTCTATGAGGACGCAACGGTATTGATATTGTTTGATGTTCCAAGTACTCGTCTGTCATTTTTTTCTCACTTAATATGTCTAGGAATCCAAGTCCGCATCTGCCCCGTACACATAGTCATGGTCAAAGATTACTCAACGCCCATTTAATCACAATACCACCAAAAAAGATGACAGCAACTCTTTCTTTACCAGTTTTTTTGTTCATATAAATATTATAATACTAACTTAAAAGCCACCCTACCGGGATACATTTAAGCTCGCTTCTGTGGAAGGCTTTGGATTGTGCCTTCATCACAATAGGTAGGGAGGAGTAGATGTGATAAGCAACAATAAACTACAGAACTCAAATCTGATCGCTGCATTTAAGTATATCATTATTAATATTTAAACTTCAACGATAATTCTTCTGTCGCCACTTAATTTAAAGACGATTTGATGTACGTAGGTCCTTATTTTGCGTACAAACAATTGCATGGATGACTTTCGCTGGAAATTTATTTCCAAGTTATAAAAACTGTTATCGTACAAAAAAAATTTGTTGCAAAAAAATTACGTAAAAAATCGCCGAAAATAATCGCAGTAATACCTTGGAGAAAACTTAGGAATCCAAAATTTCAGGACTGCGCGTCCAGATCAGGCCTGAAATGTTTTTAATTTGCTCACAGAGTCGGCCTCTTTCCAACATGGTATGATATTGTTATAGACAAGCGTATGGTTGCAAGAAAGAAATACCACAACAGCAGAAATAGATTTACGTGATTTATTTCAATAGGAACGTGTGGATTTGGGACAGCTACCTTGTGGTAGGGATTTTCCAAGCGTAGCTTAGATGTGGCACAAGGCCGAAATTAGGGGGGCACCCAGTGAGAATCGAACTCACTACTCAGTCGTAATTCTTCTAGCGAGACAAGCTTGCTAACCATTACACCACCTCGAGGTGCCCATTTTATTTTCCAAGCGTAGGTTGGATGTGGCACAAGGCCGAAAGTAAGAGGCACCCAGTGAGAATCGAACTCACTACTCAGTCGTAACTCTTCTAGCGAGACAACTACCTTGTGGTATAGTTCATAAGCCGGCTTCCGATCTGGGTTGATCTCTCATAGTAGTTAAACGGGTTGGCGATGGCGCACTGGTTCATTTGGCATGGCGAGCCTCCTCCTCCCCGAAGGAGACTCCGCCCTGACTGGTTCCTGACTGCCCAGTACAACCGTGAGTCGGTTCAAAACTTGAACTACTGACTGCTGCTGACTGCCCAGACTGACCGTGACAGGTCTCTTCCCTGGCCTCCTGTTGACTGCCAGTACTTCCCCGTGTGACCCCTTTTATGGCGTTTTTTCTTTTTTTTTATGGCTTAACAGGCTCGAAAAACGACGCGAGTATAATTAGGAGGGAAGAATTTTTATTGGTTGAAAAATAGAAACACTTTAAAATATTATTTTATTTTTCGGCCGGAACTCGCACGTCGGGAACATGCGTAAACGACGATAATGGTCATTTTGTGACGGGGCCTTGTTCCGTTCACATCCGGCTCTCGCTCTTGAGTATGTTAGTTTATTTGCCTGCAAATCAGCCGAGATATGTCTTATTTTATTTTATAACAATATGATAGGCTACGGCGTCTAGGAGTAAAGGTTAAAAAGTGTGATACACTGACACACTCACATTCGTATTTATTGTATAGAAGATTGCATTAGTCTTGTGCAAGGACATAATGTTAGAGTACTCTAGAGTGATTGAAGATAAGTTTTTCAATCAGTCGTTTTCAGTCGTTTATTATAAATATTTACTATTCTTTGCATCCTCTGACACAAGGCTACGATAGAACACTCTCAAGTTACAATGTTGTTTTTTTAATGATTCGTTTTTATGGCTTATTATTTAAAGCCAGAAAATATTTTTAGATTGTAATTTGTTTTTTTTTTAGATAATTAATCAGCACCCGCTCACATCCGATCATCGGGATCGTCACCCTTTCTCTCTGTTTCCTTTATCCCCTCTAGTGGCTGTGTCAGAGATGGTTGTGAAGGCCCATCCTACACTTGAAGAGTCGTGAGCAGCATTCACAGAGAAGTGTGAGTGGTCACGGGGGCCCTCCTGACAACACGTCGCAGATCCTCTGCATGTTGATGGTTGGACTCGAAAGTCTCGCCCCACACCAGCCCCACTGGATGGTCTTACGCCGGGAAGACCGATTTGCAGCAACGGTTTACCAGAGTCGATGTTGGCCTGTGCCAGGGATGCTTTCAACTGATCCGTGAAGCGTCGTTTTGGGCCTCCGGATAACTTCTTGCCATTGGCTACTTCTTCAAACAAGATGATACACAGGGATCCAGTGGGACGTCTTCTGGACACAAATCTAAGTAATTAACCCATTAAGGGGTAAGGTGTAGATATAAGTGAATATGATGAATATAACGGTAATTGGAATTCATTGTACACTCCCCCGCACATACAGCACCTGTTATTCCCAACTTGTTCCTCATGTATGCACTGATCAGGCTCGACGTTGCTTAACCTCAGTGGTCATACAGGACCCAGTGTTTGAACGTGATGGGATCGTTAGTCAGATGCTCCTAGGGTTTTTTGCTCAAACATAGCGACAACGTTTTTTAAACATGTTTCATTTAATACGACCAAGAAGGAATATTTTGTTTGTTTTTTTTTGGGGGGGGGTTGATTGTTTTGCTTTTCTTTAAAGAGAACCAAGAGCTTACAGCAACCAAAAAGTGCCAATGACTATCGAAATTATTACAGAAGTATATAGTCTAAGGTAGTGTTTAGCGCCATATCAACACCTCTATGGGTTATTTAATGCCGAAATTTAAATACTTTGAACACAATTTTATGACTTCCACTACAGAGAAAATATATTTTGTCAGTCATTTTACTATAAAATGTATTATTTGCAATTCTACTATAAAATGTATTGATGGTCATTTTGCTTTTAAAAAAGCATTTTTATACTTCCATCGTGTTTCGGTTTCGCTTGAGGGGTCCACTATTTGCCCATAGCTGGAACCCCAACAGGTGTTACTACACCCGATCAGAGTGAAGTTGAGAATAACAGTAATTAAGAGTGGTTTCGACGCTTCTGAAAACTTTCAATCTCCTGATCAGACCGTTTTTCTGCCGGATGTAGTTGTGAGTTTGTTTTATTTAAGTTTTTCTTGCATTCTTAGAGTTTTGCTTTTCTTTAAAGAGAACAAAGAGCTTACAGCAACCAAAAAGTGCCAACGACTATCGAAATTATTACAGAAGTATATAGTCTATGGCAGTGTTTCTCAACAGGTGTTACCTGGAATTCTAAGAGTTATCAATGGGTCGAGTTTTTATATATATATATATTCATAATTTAACTATACATGTACTGCATATTTGGGCACCCCGGTGTAATGGTTAG